ACCCCTGCCCTGGCGCGCCCAGGCCCGCGGCGATCGCTCATCCCTCCCATTGGCTGTGGGCGATTCGGGGTGGGCGGGGGGCGCGGGGGGGGGGAGGGGGGCGGTCGAGCCCCTGGGAGGGACGAGTCGATCGTCTCTTGCAAGCTTTGCGGGGCGCGTGCCCGTCGGCAGACCCACCTCCTGGCCAGGCAGCGTCGCCCCTGGACGTCTCGGCCCAGGGCCTCGGCCCGTCTGGGGGGGGGACCCTGGAGCGCCTGCTGTCTGGTCGGGGGCCCCCGTATGGTGTTTTTGGGGTCTGCCGTTTCCGCTCTCGCGTGCCTTCGGCCCCTGGTCCGAGGCCTGCGAGGGCCGGGTATGGATTTTCAGCGACCGCCCCCGAGGACTGAGGGGCTCTCGGGGGGGCTGGCCCCTAAAACCTTCTTGCGCCCCGTAGCGCGAAGGTCGGGCCCTCGACTTCGGGGCGGATCCGACTTTAAGTAGGCGGGCGTGGTTTGCCGATCCGACCACGCTGTATATGAACTAGAGGAATCAGAGGAGGAGGATCATGATGAGGAAAGAAGCGAGAAGAAGAAGGAGGAGGTGGATGATGCCGCTGCTGCCGATGATGCTGATGCTGCTGATGATGATGACGATGATGGTGATGGTGATGGTGGTCGTGGTGGTGATGGGCATAATGGCGGTGGTGGTGATGGTGCTTTTGTTGCTGATGATGATCATGATTGTGATATTACTGATGATGACGATGCCGATCATGACAATGATGGTAATGATGCTGTTGATGGCGATGATGATGGTGATGGTAGTGTTGGTGATGATGGTGATGGTGATGATGGTGATAATGTTGATGACGACGACGATGATGATTGTGATGACGATGACGATGATGATGTTGTTGATGCGGATTGTGATGGTGGTGGTGATGATGATATTGATGATGCTGCCGCTGCCGATGACGACGACCATGACGACGACGAAGAGGAGGAATAAATCATAATATTGCTTTCACAAGAACGTTCGCGCGCATCCAGTCGCCTCATCGGAATTGCGAGGAGGGCGCACTCGGTCGCGCGTTCGGTCTGCTCGACCACAGCCCCTCCATCACCTGCCTCGTCTGCGCCTGAGCCCCAGACATGCGACGTCTTGATTCGTTCAGCATGGCGTCCCCGGAGACCGGATTTTCATCCTGAGCCTTTTCGTTGACGGTCCCGGGGCCCAGGGGGGGCCTCCAGCGGCCGATTTTTTTTCGACGCGATCATGTTTCGGGCGGCACATTCTTTCCCCCCCTCTGCCGCCGCGCGTGCCCCTTCAAGATGGGGGAGGCGTCGCGCGCTGCGTCCGCAGGGACCTCGCTCCGCCACTGGCTGTAGGCAGTCTCGCCCCGCGGCGGAGATGACGCCCCGGCGCGTGCCTCGCGCGGGGGTGCTGACAAACAGCGATTGCACTTAGAGTTTCTTTTTTATCTTTTAAGGAGCTTGGTCATTGCGGCAGCTTGGCGGCCGCGTCGTCGCCGTCGCCGCCCCGTCGCCGCTTTGTCGCCGGCCGTCGTTTGGGCCAACGCGGCAGTATGGTGGCTATTTTGTCGCCGTCGCCGCTTCGCCGCCGCCTGAGTGCACAACGTAGCTCTGTTCTAAAAAACAATAGGATCTACCGCCCTCCCGGAGCCATGGTTAATGGCCCCCCTTTCTGCATTGCGAATGACTTGCGACTCTGCCCAATCGTCCATCCTAAATATGAAACCGTACCATCCCAGGCAGGTTGGCATCGACACCCCCCGTCATCTTCTGCACAAGAATTACGCGCGCACTCGTTTACCAAAAAACCAGCAGTTTCCAATAATCACATATATATGTGTGTGTGTGTGTGTGTGTGTCTGTGCAAAGGAAAAACGAAGTGCACGCGCGCGCGTTGTCGCGCGAGCGTGCCGGAATCCTTCAAAAAACTTGGGCGTCGTAAGGATGACCAAGTCGCGTCCGGAAGCATCTAGAAAAACACGGTTTCGCAACGCGGGTGTTCACAATAAATTTGCGTGCGCGCTCTTGCGAGTTCTTGTCAAAACCACAGTTTTTTTTTCAACATGTTCATAAAATGCTATCAAACTGGCTTCGCGCGC